TCGCCATAATCCATCTCATGTTACCTTGCTCTCCAATTATCTTATTTTGGGTGTTACTAACTTGTTGAAGTCTTGTGTTATCTCCAATATTTGTTTACTCTGCGACAAAATTCATGTTTGTGCATGATTTTGCGCGAACACTACTCTGGTAACCTCCGCCTGGTGCTCGACCTGTCCTTCTAATTCTTGTGCGTTTTTGTGGCACTTAGCTATGGAAGAGGGACCAGTCAATTGAGCTACTACACTCATGTCCATCTCCGGTTGTCTCAGTGCAAGTCAAGTGAAATTCATTATTTCCCGGATAGTGGTGGCCCTTCTATATGCGGCATACGAACTACTGCCCCCTTTGATTGAATGTTGACCACTCGCGAAGTTTGCGCGACCCACTGATCTACACTTAACAAGATTGGCCGAGTGTAGACAGCACTTGCAGCCTAGAACCATGCCGGAGCCTGCTATATAGTCTTTAATGGTCCTGACACACACATACGACAGTTCGACCGTCGCTCTTGACGATGTCCACCACGACGCGTAATTACGGCTGGATCACAGTGAAAGTCGACTCGCCGGATCTAACCCACTCTCACACCTGAACCCGATCTCAAGAAAAAAGTCGAGAAGGCTGGAGATGGGGGAGGGCGCAGGCGGTGTGCACGGGACACACTCCAACACGGGCCATAACAGCACCACCTTGCTAGGTAGGCTCCCGTATGGGAGTACCATAAAGGCCACATTAAGAAGGAGCCATTGATCCTGACTCTCAGCCCGCAGTAAGCCATTCCACACAATAAGAGACACTGGACCGACTGCGGTGTCCAAGTTAACCCCTTATTTGGCAACCCTTCAGGCCACGGCTTTTAGTGTACCGTGATATCTTCAAGCGCATCGGATTGTTTTTGGTAAAGAAGGAAATGCGCTGATGGTCGACCTCACTCTCTCCCTTACCGCCAGCAACAGCTCGCCGCTTAGCTGATCGGTCGCCACCTGACGTTGGCGTCCGCCGCGGAAGTGAGGGTGCCGCTAGCGGACCCGTAACTCAATGGTTAGGACGTTTGCCTCTGACCGGAGAGACGTGGGTTCTAAACTCGAGTGTGGCAGCAATTTCAGCGCAACACTGGAGTTGGTTATCTCTAGCTGACGATGGCTAATAAGCCAAAAATAGCCGTGCTACGCTCAGTCAGTATCTGAGTAAAGTCTACTCAACTGAACCCTGTTAGTCGCTTCAGATATAGGTAAGGAAAAGT